GATGACATATGAAATAATCAACTGCCTCGTACATGATGTATAGCTCAAATTCGCCTTGAACTCAATTTTTTCAAGCCTCAGACAGCAAAAAAATCAACTATCTAGGAAGGTTGTTACAAATTTCATCTACAATTAAAAGCAAAGAGTTAGTCATCAGCAGACATTAATTAGATAAGTGTCAAGGCAAAAACATACCAAAAGCTGTGAACATGCTTACCAAGACAAAGCAATAAGATCGAGACAAAGCGAAAAAAGTGTACCTGCTATGTATGCAAGGGCTCCAAATAAACATTTATGACATTCATTTCATTCAATCAACTAATTGATTCATTCATTCAATCGTCTTAAATAGCACACTGTCGCTTACTTTTGCCTTGTATTTGCTTGCTCTACAGACCAATCGCCTGCAAACCACTGGGATTGATGACAGTCGTCAAAATCACAACTGGTACTAAGAATTCCAACAGATTTCACGTTCAAAATCGAATAATCAAATAGCGAATCAACCAGAATTTCGTTACGCATAATACAAATTTGCGCCCCTCTACAGGCAGCGTTCCTAGCGCCTCTGAGCGCCCTCTACAGGCACGTCTCCTAGCGCCCGACGCGCCTCTATCAGCGCACGTCTCTAGCGCTAGCCGCCCTCTACAGGCACGTCTGCCTAGCGCAGAGCAGCGCCCTCTACAGGCGCGTCTCCTAACGCGAGCGCCCTCTACAGGCGCGTCTCCTAGCGCGAGCGCCCTCTACAGGCGCGTTGCCAGCAGGGCGAGGCAGCGACGGGTCTTACCTGTGTCGCGGGGACGGGCGTCGGCGTGCTTGAGGCAGTGTAGGAAGCGCGGCGACGGAGCGATGATGGCGAGCTCGGTCGCATGGTCGGCCCAGTAGAGGATCTGTCGCACGGCGTCGTACGGCCCCTCCTCCTGCTGCTGCTGCTGCTGCTGCTGCTGCTGCTGATGATGATGATGATGGTGGTGGCCGCCCCGCACGGCGCTCACTGTAATGCGAGAAAAACCGACGTCACACGTCGCGACTCGCGTCATCATGCCGTGCTGCGTCACATCGCGTCGTCATGCCGTGCTGCGTCACATCGTGTCATCGCGCCGTGCTGCGTCGCCTCGCGTCATAATGCATCATTGTCGTGTCACTGCATCCCGTCACGTCGCCTCATTGTCACGCCGCTGCATTGCGGACTGCAACGCGAGCAAACCGACGTCAGAAGCGTCATAATATAGACTATATTAGTCTATATTATTACCGGCGTGTGTTTGTTCGTTTGAGTGTTTGTTTGTGGGTTTGTGGGTTGTTTGTGTACAGCCTAACTGAAAAAGTTATGGACGGATTGTCATAAAATTTTCAGGTTAGGTCAGAAATGGGCTAACTTAGAATTGATGAGATTTTGGTGGTGATCCGGATCCAATTAATTAATTAATTAATAACATTTTCAGGATAAGTCAGAAATGGGGTAACTTAGAATTGATTACATTTTGGTCGTGATCCGGATCCAATTAATTATTTAAATAATTAATTAATTATTAAAAATTTTCACAGTGAGAGAATTGAGCTGCCTTGGCGGAGGTCTGTGCTCTCCGAGTGCTCTAGTATTATATATACAGTGACTATACTAGTCTATATTATATTATATATACAGTGACTATACTAGTCTATATTATATTATATATACAGTGACTACAGTAAAAACCCGCGTATAAGAACATAGATTTTTCCAAGTTAGCCTCAACATGTTCTTATATAAAT